AGTGGCATTTGTAACGACTGGTCTACCGACCCAACCCGACCGGTATCGATGATTATATCTATGATATTGTCTCTATAATTGTCTACGGATTAACTGACAGAAAATTATATAGGTGGATATACCAAAAAGGAATAATTTTGTTGATATAATTAAATTTTGTTGATATAATTAAATTTTGACTGAACTGTTCAAGTTTTTACAGAAATGATAATCAATTTTTCTTCCTAATTCAAAAGAATTAATTTCATATCTTCATGTTCAACAGAAAATAAAAAATTAAATCTAATATGTCCTTTTGAGAAGTTGTAGAAAAGTGTTATTTAATTTAAGTTTAATTTATAAGAAGAGACTAATAGATGACAAACACATCAAAATCAAATAAAATATTATATTATATTACAAATTTCATTCAAATTCATCAAATTGTTGTTTAGCATAACCGCCTCGTTTGTTTTGTTGTTGTTGTTCTTGTTGTTTCTTTACATCTATATTAAGAGCACGATTTACTGAGGGAGGTGGATTATTTAAATTGAAAGCATCATCATTGGCATTTATATCAGAATGAATTGATTCTTCTTTAATATTACTATCAATTGTCAGACTTTTCTGTGGAAATCTAGTTGAATTGCGAGACTTAAGAAAACAGAAAATACCACCAAGAAGAGCCAATAAGACTAATACACCAATTACTGCTATTATAATGATGGTATTTGATTTTTCTTCAAACACATAAAAAAAGAAACAAGAAAATAAAAGATATATATTCAAATTACGTTGAAGTCATTATTTATAATTTGCAATATGACTCGAATCATTATCAAGAAAGTAGTTTACTTTTAGGTTGTGATGTTGTGGAATATATATTATTCATGTTCGTTTTATTATCAACAAATCCACTGGTCTGATCATTTGCTACAATGACAAGAATTCAGAATTCTTGTTTAAATCAAAAGTAAACTAAACATACGAACAGATCCACCGGATAAAGTATTTATTACAGCTAAAATAATTTATAAGTGTTACTTGAAGAAAAAATAAACTAGACATACGTGGAGATCCTACGTATTTACTTTCTGAGGACTCAGCTAAATAAGAAAAATCAATATAGTTTTAAATAATATTAATAATAATAGTAAATTTACATACATTTTTCACAAACAAATGGATAATCACGACTACAAAGTTGATCGTCTAAACACACTACTTGGGTATTAGGTTGACCGCGCCAATAATTTACACATGATTCTACTTCCTTTGTAGGACTAATCAATTTTGTCGGTTCATCATAGTGATAAGTATAACCCAAATTAGGTGTACTCTTTTTACACCACCAATCACTGTTACTGTTAAAAGGTGTTATACTCTTGTCAAGCCATTTATACACTCCCACTAAATGATTAAAGAAAAAATTGAGTTTTCTGACTATTTATCTTCAATTAGTTCATTTCTTCTATTTTCGATATATTTCAAACGATTAACAACTCAGTAATAAAATTACTGCTTACGTCCGGAGATGTTTATTGCACGAGCACTTGTCCATGCGCTTAATGCATTAATTCCCATATTTTGACTTTTAATAGATGCATTATATATAAGTGGAATTATACTTTTATCACGAAAACTAATCAATTCTGCTTTTACATTACGACATGTTGCTTCTGCTCCTTGCCATGACATTTTAGTTGCATAGTAGGTAATACATGCTGTTTCTGTATATGAATTTTTTCGATAACATATTTTCAATATAAAATTCATTAATACTAACCAGTCATTGTCCAATCATTTGGACATGAACTACACCGAGCACCCGTCCAAAAAAGACGACTTTTTGAATCACATTTACATACATTATTTATACAAATCATACCAGGAAAATTACATTTTTTAGCACATGGATCATTATAAAGTAAAGCTAATTGTTATAGATCATAATAATACAAAGACTTTATTTCTAAATTAATTCTTACCTAATGTTGCTTGATAAAATAGAATTAAGAAGAAGAACTCAAGCATATTTTACAAGAATGACAAATAATTATAATAATAATATTGTTGAATTTTAAATGATAGTTTTATTTAAAGTCGAACTTAGAGTATAACGAAGATGTTTCAACATATGAGAGATAGGCGCGCTTATATTATTACAAGAATAAAATTATCAAAATTATTCTTACAATTTTATCTTGTTTAATGTTGCCACCTGACAATATTCAAAAAATAGAAAGCTTTTTTTGATACAAAATCATTTGTTGAGCTTTTTCTTGATGTTATAATAAAGAACGTTCATACCAAACTCCAATTGTTTAGTACAATTTAAACAGATTATTTGACACATTCTGTTTTTATTGTGTACTTCTTGTTTGTTTACATAGCTTTTAATAAATCTTGGTTTGATATACATCATATTGATATAACTATAGTTTCATATCATTTTACACATCTTTTTTGACAGAATCATCAAATTTATTTGAAAGAACCGAGTAAACGATTATAATAATTATCGAAGATGCTTTTGATGATTAGATCTCAATTTTTAACTTCAACTTGTTCTATTATAATTTAATTGTAGATGAGTAAAAAATAGGTTAGAATTTGCTTTACTTAATTTAATGATTCATAATGATATGAAACAAAAATGTATGTATGTGTGTCTATTTAGACGTAATGTTGATAATGATTACATCATCAATAGGATGCATTTATTTTAAATTCGATCGTATAAAAGAAAAATTAAGGATGGAAAGATAACAAAATTTTTCGAAGCAAATCTATAATTATTTTTAAAGCTCAGTTCATTTAAGCTTGTTTGATTTGAATCAAACTTCACTATCTTTTTTAGCAAGCATTGTATGTTTGTCGTATTCTCATAGTATATGATCATGTATCAGGATCTAGAAGTGGACTAAAAATAAGGCAAATATAAAGTACAGTTTATGGATGGAACCTTTTTCAGCGACCTCCTTCCGATTTCAATGATTTTTTTTTGTGTATTTTTTTGAAAACTTCATATCTGAAAGAGATTTTGTTAAAAACTGCTGAATTTTTCTTATGAAAGCTAGTCTAGTTTAGTTTCCTATATGTGCAAAGTTTCAAATCAAAATTGGAAAATATGAGTTTTTGGAAAATCTGGAACGTCTAGAAAATAGACACATTCAAATTTTGATCGCTTAGTCAAATTTCAATAGGAACGCAAATTCTTTTAAGATTTTCATTACAAAACAATGTAGTATCTACAGACAAAAAAACTATTAAAATCGGAAAGGAAGAGCTGAAGAGGTTCCTTCGTTAGTCTTACATAATAGAAGTTTTAACAACTTAAAAAGTCACAATAATTTATAATCTTTTCAAAATTAATTTGAAAAACTGATTAATTGGCGAAAAAATATAAATAGCCTGTTATTGAATAATATCAATGTAATAAAATTCTTGGTAAAATATGATTCTAACACCACAAAGAAACCAAAACCATAAAAAAGACTGTATAAACGAAAAAATTTAAAATTGTGTGTCACAAAAAAAAGAATAATTAGTGAAAAGATTTCATTATCTTATAGAGAAAATTAAAGTATCATTAACAATTATGTTTTAGAACACATCTATGTGAGAAATTATTCACTGACGTCATTGGTTTATACGTGTCTATTAATAAATATTCTTCGATAAGACATTAAAGTAATAGTTTTCTTCTACTGACGCAATTTTTTCTTTCTAACAACAATAATCTAGCTTCCGGTTGTATTAGAGATAAGATGACAAGATGAGTGCATTGCATTTTTTGTGACTTGTCAAGCTAAGTTTTTTTTTTCAAACATTGATATATTACATCATAACAGATAAATATAATGATGAAAAAGTAACGATGTACCAATATATTCATAATGTGACGATTGCTAATTTATGAACTTCATGTAATATTGAAATTAGTTGTATGTCGAATTTTCAATTTCTATTGAACAAACAGTCTTTTATTTAAAATACATTATTCAACTCAAAATACTTTTATGTATAGACGTATATTAACAAATGTTTCAGAATAAACTTCATTATAATAGATCATGAAATTCTCTATCTTTAGATATAAAAAGGAAATTATTTATAATTATTACATGACAAAAAACAAAAATACGCAATAATTTTGTGCAATTTTTTTTTTCGGACACTTTGTTATATTTGCGTGCACTTTAATCTGATCTTTGTCTTTAGAATGACGCATATAGATAAATCATTAATAATCATTATACTGAATATTTGTCAGATAAATTTACACAATGCAGGTGCAAATTGATTGTGTGCACGAAAGACAAGATCATAACAATACAATTTATTTACTCTTATAGAAAGTTTTAAAATGGATGCATGGGCAGCAGAAATTCGACGATGGCCCACGTTAGTAGTATTCATATTTGGTCAAACAAGTAATATTTTAAGTGTTCTTGTACTTGCTCGACCAAAATTACGAAAGAGTACATGTTCACTTTATTTACTTGGTGCAAGTATAAGTAATACAATATGTATATTTGTTGGTTTACTTTATTTTGTTATAAGTAGTGGATTTGGATATTCATTTCTATCAAAAACTCGTGGTTTATGTAAATTTATACCATTTATGTATTATTCAACATTAGTTTTGGCTTCATGGTTTATTCTTCTTGCATGTATTGATCGATATTGTTCAACAGATTCAAGAGCTAAAATACGTCGATTTAGTCATATAAATACAGCTAAATGGTTTATTATTTTCTTACCATTTGTTTCATTTATTGTGCATATTCATTTATTAATTTATATCGATTGGATACGTGTTGGTTTATGTAGTTTTATCATATTTGATTATCTACTTTTTTTCTATGCTTATTATGTCATTACCTATGCATTTATGACACCTATACTTTATATTGTTTTTGCTGCACTTACTATAAATAATGTTCGAAAAAGAAAGAAAACTGTAGCAATTATAGTTAAAAGAAATGGAACAAATATTCGATCAAAAAAACGACTACAAACACTTGATGCACAACTTCTTCGAATGCTTCTTGTACAGGTATATATACTATTCAAAAAAACTAAAGTATGCTAAAATTTTTAACATCTTTTTCTTTTATTTATAATATAGGTCATATCATTTTTTATATTAACTATGCCTCTTGCAATATGGAATGTTTATATAGGCATCAGTTATTATAAGCCAAAATCACCTATAACAACTAGTTTAGAAGCTCTTTTATCTGTTAATTTTCGTTTTTTAACGTTTATTAATATTGGTTCTACATGTGTCGTTTATGCTGTAACTTCTCGACTTTTTCGTGAAGAACTTTGGGCTCTTTTTCAATGTAAATGGTTCACAAAGACAAACAGACATGAACAGCAATCTCGTTTATTCACTGTCTCACAACGTGTTGCTCCTGCTTAAAAAAAAAAAGAATATTATAAACAACACTAAATAATTGATCAAATGTGAAGCATAGAAAACGATGATGAAATTTTAATACAAACTAACTTAATTAATTTTTTTATTAAAAATTAATCTTAGATGTTGTTGTGTTCATTATAATATTTATCTAAAAACTTTTTCTTCAATACATATTATGTGGAGTTTGTAATATATCTTAAAATATTTTAAATAAAATCATTTTTTTATTTAAAAAACATTTATTTTTATTAATAAAATTCAAATAGATCTAGTTAATCGATTAACACTCATACCGAGCTTACTAAAATTTCTTTGAACTTAATAAAAATATATGCACATATTTTAACGTCAGATCGAGAAAGAAGTTTTCGTTAAAATTTCCATTAGTTTCTAAATGAATCTATAGATTAGAACGGACTTCAAAGAGTTCGTGCTGATGTTAGGCTTTGATCGAGATATTCACATTTTAGTGGATTTTTTCTCTTTATAGCCCCAATTTTTAGATAAAATTGTATTGGTGAGTTTTGACCTGAAAACTTCGTCCGGATGAAAGTTTCAATAAAACTAGTTTATACACAAAATTTCAGAAACTTTCAATCGACTGTACATTTTTCAGACTTCAGGCGGTTTTCCATTGATACAGTATAAAACATGCATATTGCGGAAGATACATATCTCAAATACATTCAGTTGAAAATTTGTGGCATTTTTTGCATAAGCTAGTCTCACTGAGACCTTCATCCCAGCCGATATCTCGGTCAAATCTGAACGTCCGNACTATTGCACAATGTCAACCAACTCTTGTTAAATTTCGTTTTGCAACTGCCACCACCGGATCTTCTGCTGATCGTGATCCAACGGCAATTACAGTTGAAGGAACTAACTGCTATATTTTGGTGAATTGTACTAACTGGACAACTATCTACGTTGGTCCAACAGGTTTAGAAAGTTTTGTAAGTCGCTCTACATATGGACCTTTTGAAACTATATCATCGCCTCAAATTTTTACAAGTTATCGCTTCCTGGTCACTGCCAAGAGAAATATCAGCGACTATGTTGCTTACAGCGAAGTAGAACTATATGGCTATTAGGAACTTTGATAGCCCAAGTCTTCATAAGAATTCAATAACTATTGCATATAGTGATATAATTGTAAATGTAATCATGTTCATGTGCTTAAAAGGTTTTTCTTTACCTAATCAATATTGATTGATTCACAGTTTTGTTTTTGTTGGTACTTGTCTTTTCATAGCTTTCAAATAAACATTTATGAAACAATTAAGCTATGAATACAATGTATTGATAAAAGTGATTTGACGAAAGATAGCTATAAATTTTCAATTAAACTTCACCGTCGTCCATCACAACTGACACCGTCGACACATTAAAAGATCTTCTCTAAAGACCAATTCTATTAAAATAATTTTACAAGCTATTGATTGTTTTAGTACTTATATCCATTATAATATTTAGTCTCAGTACAGACAAAACATTGATTCGTTAGTAGGGATGCCAGATCTCCGATTTTTCTCTTTCATGCGAATGTTTTGAAATGTATGTATGTATGTAACTTCTTTTTGGTTCTTGTTTTGTTAAGTTTGCTAGAACTTTTCGAAAAAAAAATATTTCGCACTAAATAACTATCTTGGGTTGTTCATACGAACTGAACGGTATATACATATTGCTTTTATGTGTGGGTGTGGATACAAGTGTAGAGAAAAGACATACAACAACACCTTAACGGGTCATGTCACGGTATTTCGTTCATTATTTCATACGAAGTGATTCAGTTTTCGAGTCAAAAAACAACACTTGTACCGATTCTTATCAAGCCCACGAATATGGACTAATTTTGGAATAACAAAGGAGAGACGGTCTCTGTCAAGAAATTCTCTGTTCATCAACGAGTGTGAGTGAGATTTTACTTTTCACCCTTACACTCACTTCTACAATAGAGTTATAGATGTTTACCTTGTCAATTCAAAAAACAAATTATCAAAAGTAATATTAAGGCAAAGCACAAGTTTAGAGAGAGGGAGTGAGAGACAGTATAAACAATCTTTCGCTAGACTGGAAATATGTACACATTGTTTCTACAGTTGACGCAGTAAACATTATTGTGTGAGTGATCCATCACAGACCAGTGTTAGTATTGAAGTATCAATAATGAAAAAATACGGGTACTCACTCAAATTGCCTTCCTCTCTTTTCTTGCCACTCGAAATAAATATCTGATTTGAATTGCGCATATTTATGTGATTTAGAGAAGCTCATTGCAATGTCTATAAAAGAAATAGGAAGTGCATAATATCATAAAAATCATATCAAGACTATAAAAAAATGCAAGCGTCACGTACTAAGGCATATTTCTCTTCATCATTTCCATTATATGTGAGCATAGTAATAGATAATCATCACAGATGCACAGAACTATGTGATTCCATTCGAAAAGTATCCTGATGGTTCACGTCCAAATGAATATTTGTATAGGAGAGAAAGACAAATGACTGTACTCATCAATAAATACATCGAAGTTCATATCCACATGACTCAAGTGCTGCGCTCGAGTGAGAATGTGAGATGTTGCTCTCTAAAATAACTTCCATTTTATGTAACTCGATACTTGTAGTATGAAATTAAATTCAACTCCGGTTGTAATACATTGTTCAAAGTAACATCGATTCAAAACGAGTGCAATCATCCACGTAAGATCATTATGACATTATTCCAATAGTAACCTCACTTGATTTGTCACAATCGTCCATGTGACGTAACCTCGTCGTGGTGAAGACTTAGGCATTTTCTATTGAGCTACCAATGATACCCGTGTGGTTGTGATTGAAAATGTAAAAACATATAATGTAGATGCAAAATACCAATATATGTTAACTTTTTTGTATACAGCATAGAGCCTGGTAAAACCGTGTATAACGTATGGATTTTACAAAATTATGGCTTAGTCACAAGTTCTTATGGCGCTTGCGTGTACAGGACCGGTGAATGCCGTTTGAGAAATGTTTTGACTACATAACAAAGAAGAAACGTGGATGAACCAACTTCTAGGCAAGTTACATTCGGCAAAGTCAAATGCTGAGTCAAAATTGCATCAGCTTTCTCTTGTACTTCTGAATTTGCCCTGTAATGGAAAGAAAAAGCTGTGAACTATATTGTTATTATATTCTGCCCCCATTGTAGAAGCAAGGACTGCATTTTCATCATGGAATGAGCGCATAATATTAATGCATTTAATGATTTTACGTTCTTAATATATCATTGAATGTCAAAAACATTTATATGCACGATAGTCAATTCATTTTCATTTGATTAATGTGTCTTAGATTTCTTAGCATTTAGTTAGGACACTAGAAATGACTGACTAGCCTTGTCAATAAGTGACTAATCTAGAGCTGCTGTTGAGTGAAGAAGTTAAACATGTTTCGTTTGCCTAGTGAGCGATGCAAATATTCAAAGTTTTTCGAGTGAAAAATAGAGTTCTATTTTTTTCATTCAGTAGCAAATAGTTCGCTTTCATTGACATCAGATTCACTTTGCGCACAAAAGCTTTTTTCACACGCCGTGATCTCTCAAAGGATAGTTGATTGACTTCTTTCATCGTATACATACATATACATATACTATGGGTATCAAGAACTATATTAGGTCAGAGTAAATTTAAGGCTCACATGATCAAGAATGTGAATCTCGATAAATCGAAGATCCTCATCCACAACTGTATTCACACCGAAATTTGGCGTCGAAATTCTCCCTGTTCAAATTTTAGCGCATTTGGTTGGCTATCGAAAAGTTAATCGAAATCAAATTTTGAGTACTCGACAAGTCCTATTAAGATGAAAAAAGAAAGCTAAAAGTTTACGTGTGCGGATCGGTGAACAGAACATCCACGTCCACAGTCTTTATATAAATGCTAATGTTATCGAATCAATTTTTAACAGTTTTTGTTTAAATAATGCTTGAAACATATAGACAATATAGAATAATACAGAATAAAACAGAAAAAAAAAACAGAGTACACACCATAAATTAGTAGAAATAGAAGGGTACTTCACTTCGTTATAAAAATAGTCCGGCAATTCTGGATATAGTTGTGATGCCGAGAAGACTCACACCCACGAAAGTTTTCTGCAGACAAAACTTCTAGTTATCATTAAAATCTCAGTTCTAAATTTTGAATTTACGCTTTCTCAGAGTAAAATAAGGACGTCGGATCATGCTGAATGAATTTACTATGGTCGTGCAAAGTTAGCCTACCATTAGAAGTTAAATTCGGCGTCAAGATTCTCCATCTCAAAATTCCGACATTGAAGAAGTTGGAATTTTAAGGATATAAAAATACAGACCAATCGGAACATATTTTTATCAAGAAAAATCATTCATAATGATTGGTTTCCGAGTTTCCATCATTACAATTCACTGATTCTGCTCGATATTTATGTTAGAAAAGGACTCATAAAAAGACAGGTTTATTTTATAAGAAAACGAGACTGAAATTGTTCACTTCGCTGTTAACCATATATATTCGTCTCGTGTCAAATATATTTATGCAGGATTCTTATTTGATAAATTTATCTTTCCGATTCTGACACCTTATGAATGGCAATAGCGCTTTTATTTTTGAAAGATTTTCATAGGTTATTTGGTTGCGTACACTATTAATATTATCGATTAATAATCTTTGAATAAAACTAAACGATTTAGGCTAGAACTGAATTATTGCATTCATAGACTATTTCCTGCATTTTTATTGCCGAATTTAAAATGAGAACAGACGCAATTGACTATTTCTGCTTTTATTAGAGAGATTTCGAATGGAGAAAAAACATAATGATTAACATTTTTAAATATTTCGAGAGTACTTAGTGATGTTTCTCTGTTATATTCTAAGGCGATTCTACATATTTTATTTAAGGTAAAACTAATGAACAATACAGTAAAACAGATTACAATGTTGAAAAAATTGAAAGCTTATTTCTCGAAGAATAATACGATAGTGATTCTAACGGGGAGGTAGATGATACAACATGAAAAATTAGTGATTTTTTATATAGATGATGCAAAGAATTCGATAAACCACAACAACTATTAGTAGATATTATTTAATTTAAATTGTTAGTCACAAGGAGAATGCGAGTAAAGAAGAAGAGAACTGTCTTTCAATCGGGCAATAGCTTTGTTTTTCTTTATTTACCTTGAAATACATTATTTAGGTTTGTAACTAATGAAAGAGATCTCTAGAATACTGCGCTCTGATGTTGACAGCATTCATAAGCATGCAAAAAATAGTATTTATAAGAACAGGGTAAACGCTTGTGGTATATCAGACTCATACTGAATCCAACAAAGACCTTGTTTGACTGGACTTTTCAATACCAGATGTCAGTATTATCTCAGTATCAGTTCAATATAAATTCTATCAGTGAAAGTAATCTTAAGGAATAATGGATACAATAGTAATAGCAACTTGCGATCCTAGAATGCGACCTGTGAATAGAGACTATCGAGTCAGAATCTGAACATTTTATTTTGACCGGATCCTAGTTCAACAATTCTTGGACCCGCTGGGCTCTACCGGTAAGACGTTATAAGTTATTATTATCGGAGATCTGTTGTTTATTTTGAAACTGTTGGGTCTATTTTTGCAGCATATTAAATATTTTGAGTTCGCTTCTAGAAAACCAATGTCTGAAGTACGCATTTTGTCTCGTCAGCTATTTTTTCAGTCACGATATTACTCTAATTTTTACTAGCAGCTAGACGCTTTATCTACGTTTATTTCTAGTCATGCGCTTATTGTGAAAATGAAGATGGAGACTAAGAGCAAAAACTGGAAAACATATAGGATTATAGTATAGTGTTAGAGCTTTTTCAATTCCGTGACTGTGTCCTGTTTAAAATCAGAGTCTATTATTGGGCAAATATCTTTCTTTAGTGGCAGACTAAATCTTTAATCGTATAAACTATCATGAAAAGCCATGTTTGATTTTTTTGAATAACTTCGTCTGAGCTTCATTGTAAAAAAGACGATAAAAATGTTTTTAAAATAAAAAATGTACAATCATTTTAAATGTTCCTTTTACTATCATCAATAAAATGATATTTATTTAGTTTTTAGTTCAAATGAACTAACTTCGATACGACATATATATACATCTTGTAAAATCTTTTTTTATTATGCTTGACGATGATACAGATTAATGTCCAAAGCTCGTAAATAAAGAAATGAATTTTTTAGTTAATCTTTTATTTTAAACAAAAATACTATACATCATATAAATAAATTACATTGGCACATATTGCACGTGATATTACAGAAGTTACAGTTGTTGATGAAGAAAAACTGTCAACTGCTGTATTCGGTGTTGGCATATGAATATTGTATGCTATTAAAAAACGTAATAATAAATAATTTTTTGATTATGAAGCTTCTTTTTACTCTAGTGATCTATTGACATAGCAGATGATGATGTTGGATGGCTAAATCATGCTGCGTAAGTATCAATTGAAACATTTAAAGCTACACTTGCTGGACTATCAGTAGAATCACGTATTGAGCCAGAATCTGATGTTATTGTTGATGAAGAATTTGAAATTGATGATAAACCTCTTGTATTTGAACTTTTTTCAAGACCACTTGATAATTTATCTGTTAAATAACTCGATGAAGGTGTAGTGGAACTAAATATTGCAAACGTTGACGGGCCATTATCGTCATCATAATCAACTCTAAATTAGATGATGGATATCAACAAAGAAAAAAAAAAGAATCAAATAGTAACTAACCTAGGTGTTGTTGTATATGCTGGATCCCAAGCTGATGCACCACCATGTGCATGTTGAGTCATTGAACCGTCATGCTGAGGTGTCTAAAGAGAAATTGAAGATATTTTGATTTAATTAAATCTATTCGTTCCATATATGCATGATAAGGTGCTGTGAAACAATTAGGCATTTGACCTAGTTGACATGAAACCTTTCTAAACAGATTAATAGCTATTAATTTTGTTTATTAACAATTGAGATAAGACAACAAACATTGTTGATAAAATTATATTTCGATCAATAGTAATTGTTTGACATTTGGTATGAAGTTCAGTTCGACATGTTGATACTGTTGCATCTTTAACAATTCCAACATAACCTTTATAAGGTTCTTGTGAAATTTTAACTTGTATCGCGATGAATATTATCTAATGTTGATAAGGGTGTTTTTATTTCTCTAGTTAAATTAGATGATCATCAATCAGATGATACTGGACTATTTAAATGTAATGATGAAGAACTAGTTGATGATGATGAATTTGAAGAAACTTTTAATTGGCCATCAGCTAATAATAAATTTGTTGCTTCAGATACAAATAAAGTACTATTTTCAGTTAATATACGACAAAATATAAAAACAAAATCACGATAAATATGTTTTATTTGACTTGGACCTACCTACTGCGAATAATCCATCAATAACATGAACAATATCTCCAACATGTAAATTATTATTTTATGAATCTAGTGTTGTTGTATATCGATTTATTTTTCGTTTTGTTACTGATTGTATTAGAATTTTTTGATCTTTTCCATCCATATTTAACACTTGTAAACGTTATTTTTCAATGCGTATAACAATACCAATTTTATATGATCTGTTAAAAATAGAAAAAAAAATTATCATTTCCTACTTTTAATAAAAACATAAGGTGTATATAGGCACTGGTGTGAAAGTTTTTGGGATTAAAATTATTGAAACATTTTTTCAGTTCCTTACAGCGACATTGTAACAGCATAAATAACCAGAGAAGATAACACTATTGAAAAAACCGTGTGGTTTTTTCACCTAATTTTCATTAGCTCTGAACATCCCTTCTCTTTGTCCTTGATGTCTATCGTTACACCACCATGCCAATCGCTCTTTTCTTTTAATATCTGGTTCTTTTATGCAATAATATTGATCAAACTATATTGTATATGCAGAAAAAATACAAAACAAATGACTAGAAATCTCTGCTTTTTTAAAATGTACTACTTTGAACAAAACATTGTATACCACGCCGAGCCCCAAGCTCGGAAAGTTGGGTGACCACTAAATTTAATAAAGATTCAACTAGTCTACGATGTCAATATGAATGAGTCAAAGAAAAATATCTTCGAGTTAAATATATTATTACTACTGCTTTTTATCAACTTGCAATACAAATTTGTTTATCGTATTTATTTTATCAGTTATGTCGTATAGAAAAAACCGTGGTTCTTCAAGTTATTTCTGTCTTCCGTTACATTCTTTCGTATTCTTGAATTTATGTAACTGACAAGTTGTTAACCTTGAGGAACAAATTTAGCCTACTTTATTTTATCGATTCTTCGTCAAAGAAAATTTACTGAAGAGATCCAAGTAGTGATTTTGATAGTTCTCAGAGTAGCCTACAAAACTGGAATGCGAACATTTTTTGAACAACGACGATATTCTAGTTTCTATTATATAAAAAAACTGTATTATTAATCTTTCAAAATAAAGCATTTCAATGGAATGCTCAGTGTTTTCACTTTCACGTGGACATGATGTTCATTGCTTTTAAATAATTCAACCATAAAACGAAACTTTAAACGACATGTTCCGTGAAGACCATTGTTTACTTACAATATTTTCATTTTTTGATCCCTGTGGCCTGCCCTCCCTCGTCAAGATTTCCAAAAAACTTTCTTTCCAAATTGGGTGTGTGTATAAGTGGGAGTGGAAATAAATTGACATAAATAATACGTTTTATGTGTATCGTAGTATTTGTTTGTGACGATTTCTCATCTGAATACATCTATGGTGAACATTTAATACGTTAACAGATCCAACAACAGAATATTTCTATTATTCGAGTCCAATGTCTGATGCCGAATATAGATGTGCACAATTCGCTCGTTATCATGACACGTGGCTATCACAAAAAGCTAAGTATGTCGTCGACAAGCAAGGCTCTTATCTTTTGGTCACATTCAAGAAACCGACATATACACAAGTCAAGTCGTGGATATAATCATCAAAAATGGTAAGATGACTATTATTGCTACAATAAATGATTATTGTGTGTTTAGACAATTTACATGGCAATGTTTTGTACAGTTTTTCTTCTGATGTTTCCGCACAATTTGGCAGCACCATCCAAGTCACGTACTAGTTGTGGTTATGATGTAAGAATCACATGAGCATTGGTATTAAGAATTAGAGAAAACTAAGTATTTATATTTTAGTTTTGTAACTTGGGTAACCCAGACAAACTTAATGTTCACATTGTAGCTCACACACATGATGATGTTGGTTGGCTCAAAACAATCGATCAATACTACTATGGATGTGAGTAATAAGTTCGGTAGAGCTACTTTTCAAGCAGAATGGTTGATGACAGAGTAATTGAATAATAACATTGACTATCTTCTTGTTTAGCACGCAGTGAAATTCGTCATCGAGGTGTTCAATACATTATTGATTCGGTGATTCAAGCATTGCTGGAAAATCCTGATCGAAGATACATCTATGTTGAAATGGCCTTTTTTTGGCGTTGGTGGAATCAGCAATCGGATGACATGCGTAACATAGTTAGACAACTCGTCAATGAGGGTTTGTATAGATTCAAATCGAGTATAATGAATAAAATCTTAATGAGCAGTCTGATAGAGCATAGACGATAAATTCGAGGCATAACAAATCATTGACTTTCAGCGATGTTTTGTGCCTAGAGATTAGACTTAAGCAATATCAAAGAACCAGAACAATGATGTAACTCATACAGATTTGTTTCTCTATTGTGCTGTGATCACTAGGTCGTCTCGAGTTCATCTCAGGTGGTTGGTCGATGCATGATGAAGGAGCAACACATTACAATTCAATTATTGATCAGCATAGTTTAGGTGCTGAGTTCTTACGTAATCAGTTCGGTGATTGTGCTCGACCGAAAATCGGCTGGCAAATCGATCCGTTTGGTCACTCACGAGAAGTAGCTTCACTCTTTGCACAGGTTTCATGAATTTCGAATGCGAATGCAGAATAATATCTCTATTGTCTATATACAGATGGGCTTCGATGGTCTTTTTTTCGGACGAGCTGACTATCAAGATGTTGCAAAGCGAAACATGACAAGAACAATGGAAATGATCTGGAAAGCGAGTGCCAACTTAGGTAAATCAGAATTGAACTTCTTCAATCTGAGCTAAAGTCGAATTCGAAATGGATACACTCAAATCTGTTGATGGGAAACTTAGCGTTTTGCTTATAAATTATTTTTAGATCGTCAGAGTTGGCTGTTTACAGGTATTCTACCACACGGATACGATGCGCCAGATTCATTCTGTTTTGATATCCTCTGTACAGATGCACCGATCATGGTTTGCCGAAATGCTACTTCTATTTTCTTTCTATTTCATTAAATAATTCTAGGATGATGTTCGTTTGTACGATTACAATGTTCCTGAACGTGTACAAGCATTTATCAATGCTGCACACAATGAGGTCTTCTTTTTTATGTCATTTTTTATTGTTTCGTTCTTTGAAAGTAACTTTTTCGTATTTCTTTAATGATCGACAGGCTATCAGTTATACGACAAATCATATCATCATGACCTTTGGTAGCGATTTTCAAGATCAAAATGCTAATGAAAAATTCAAAAATTTGGACAAATTGATCAACTATGTCAATGCTCAGGTAGATATTATATTACTATTTATTAACAATGTCCTCAATCGCTCGATGATCAGCAAGAGAATGGTAGTAATGTCAATGTTTTCTACTCGACACCATCATGTTATTTGTACGCTTTGAATAAAGCCAACAAACAATGGACATCGAAAAAAGATGATTTCTTTCCCTATGCCACTCATTCACATGGCTTCTGGACAGGCTACTTTACTTCAAGAGCTACTCTCAAAGGTTATGAGCGTTACTCAAACAACATTCTTCAAGTTACACGTCAATTAAACTCATTTTCACAGAGTAATCGACGCGATACTATTTTTTATCTGAGTAAGACGAACATTTTGATTAACATATAGCTGTACTTGTTTACATAGGTGAAGTGATGGGCATTATTCAACATCATGACGCCGTTAGTGGAACAGAGAGACAGCATGTTGCCGATGATTATGTTCAACGATTATCGGATGGTATTGACAGAACAGTGGTATGTGTTCGCACAAAACTAGCTTCATTCACTGATGACATTGACATGAATATACTAGGAGGTTATCAATGATGCCTATGGTAAGCTCTTACCTAAGCAAGGTCTAACGCCGCCTGTACTACGACAGTTTCTCTGTCCGTTGTCAAATATCAGTGAATGCCTGCTGATTGAAGGACAAGATCAAGTAAATGAATTTCTGTGAGATGAATGACACATCTCTTCCATTGTTTGTAGTTCACTTTGACACTCTGGAATCCAACCATTCATCCAGTGACAATTCATCCGCGTGTACCAGTCACTCGAGAATATTTGATTCGTGATCCGATGGGCAATTTGGTTCCAGCTGACGTAGAGAATAGACGATAGACGAGCAAAAAATATGATCTATTTTGCTCTATCTCTTATAGTATCTCCCGATTCCAGACACTACAAAAACAATTCCGGGGCGAACAAGTGCTGCTCAAAATCAATATATCTTCGAAGCATTATTACCTGCACTTGGCTACAACACCTACTATTTCGAAGCTAGAAGTATGTACAGTTATTATAGATAAAGGCATATTTTTTTCGTGAACAAGCAAGTCTTCGAAAAGATGTAAAAAAAACGAATAAAATGTTTGTGTGTTCGCAAAAGAAAAGTTGAAAATATTTTCTTTTTTTTTAAATAATTAGTAGAAAAAAAAATTATCATTTTTATTCATCATTTGATATGATAGCCGATAAGCAGAGAAATGTACACAAGGCAGTGACAATCACACAAAATGAAGCGTGTATTCTACAAAACGAAGTAGGAGACTGCTATGATCTCGGATGTTCACGAATCAATTTCTCATTTGTAGCATCTGCGAGTAGAATTCGATGATCAAGGCAACTTGCAAAAGATTATCAATCTGGAGAAGAATTTGACACTACCATTTACTAATCAAGGCTTCTACTGGTACTCAAGTGAGTCATTTAGAAATATTATAGATAACTATCCAATTTTATGAGGATCATAGAAATTTATTGTCATTTTTATAGCTATTGAAGTTATTGAATGAAAAAATTCAAAAATAAGCATAAATATCATCCTAAATAATTTCATTGTAAATCGAATGAAGTATTCACCAACATTAGCTCACTCAAATTTGAATTGTTTATATCCAGCTCTTCGATTCAATTCTCATAAACTGTTGAGTTCTGTTTGTTTAAGAAAAAGATCTATTTTGTAGTCTTTTGAAAAGTATTAAATGCATCAAACAGGATCATGAAGTTTATGAACTATAGATTATTTGAGAAGATCGAGTTTCTAAAAAGTTTCATGAACACTTCATGTTTATGGTTTTTTTAAATAATTGTGTTTCTCCTTTAAAAGGCTACCCCAGCAACAGTTCCGAGGGATTTCAAGCATCTGGTGCCTACATGTTTCGACCATGGAGTTCTCATGCACAACCAGTAAGCAGCCAACGGACCATGTGAGTAGTTTCATTCGAAATGATTCTCTCAACAATTTCTCATATCGATGTAAAACAATTAAATAGAAATTGTACAAAAACAAAACTAATACAATTTGCATTCATTGTTTTCAACGAATGGGCCACTCAACAGATCACTCTCTATCCAGAAGCATCAGCTGTTGAAATCGAATGGACACTAGGGCCGGTTCCAATTGATGATGGTGTTGGCAAAGAAATCATTATTCGTTATGATACTAATATTAACAGTGCATCGAAATATTATACAGATGCTAATGGACGAGAAGTATTGGAACGTATTCGTAATTATCGACCTACATGGAATTATTCGAGTGATGAACCAATCAGTGGAAACTATTACCCAATCAACAGTCGCATCTGGATTCGAGATAGTCAAAGTCAGTTGACTGTACTCACTGGTATGAATGATTTTGTCCCCTCCTTTCTACGACTCATTTCAACATTTGAAAGTTCTTTAGATCGATCGGAAGGTGGTGGAAGTATGTATGATGGTTCCATCGAAATTATGCTTCATCGTCGGATTCTTTACACTGATGGAGTTAGTCTTAATGAACCATTGAATGAAACAGCCTATAACAAAGGTCTTGTTGTTCGTGGTAAACATCATCTTCTTGTTGAACCACCTGCTAATAGTGCTCGCTTACATCGAACTGGTGCTCAACAATTGTTCATGTCTCCTCTAACTACATATTCACTGCCTGACACATCATCCTACACAAACTACTCGATGAGTTATCGTCAAACATGGTCGGCTTTATCAGACATAATGCCACTCAATATTCATCTCTTGACATTCGATCAATTAAGTCCAAAAGAGTATCTAGTTCGTCTCGAACATTACTTTGAATTGAATGAAGATGAGACATATTCACAACCAGTCACTATCGATCTACAAGTCTTATTCACAACTATTGGCATGATTGCTAATGTGCAAGAATTGATACTCACTGCCAATTTACCTGTGTCTGATTTGCATCGACTAGAGTGGATAACTAATAATGGCGAATCATCACATGTTAATATGTCGGGTAAGTTTGATATTAATTGACGGCCAACTAGAGTGATATGATGTGCATAAGTGTCTATCTTTTTTTTAGAACAAAGTCTGTTGGAAGGAACAATAACTAATCTGTATCCGATGCAAATCAGAACATTTCAAATTACAATCAACTAGATTATTGCTATCATGCATGTTTTTTGATTTTCTTTTGCCAACTTCGATCTTAGTTAATCTCTGTAGACAATATGTCCTTTGTGCATCAATCAATATCTTCCAGTAGGAAACAAAAACTGTCACGTTTTGTTATTAGATTTTTTCCAATAATTATTTTTGATTCTTTCAATAATTGATCATTATAATTTATCTCATCCGTTCAACTATAGATCGATATCATTTGCAGTGCAATGTCGATAGCATCTCTCGTGATTCTTTTGTGACCGATAGCCATATGGCACTAAAGAGAATAGTTTTTGATGTGGTCTCTCCTTGTGACTGAAAGCTAATGTAAGACAAGAAAGAAAAATAAAAACACAAAGAGTGCAGCTGTGAGTAAACTGAAGACTGGCACACCCATTCAATTCCGCACAGACATAGGTACCCACACATCGATATCCACCCCCTACATCCGCACACACCCTCCAGTCAAAAATTAAGACAAACATAAAAATTCGTTTGTGTCGTGCACTCATTTATTCATCGGCAGAGACAAATAATAAAACCAAGATCTTTATAGTGTTTTATAGAACTTACCTGGATCGCTTGATGGAATGAATGATGTTATGTGAAAGAGAAATGTTGAAAGCAGACAGTATGAATCTTTTCGCAAGTTATACTGCTTGATGACTACCAAAAAATGGTTTCATCTTTTTTTACATCACTTGGCAAGATCAATAAATTATGTCACTTCGGCGTCGATACACCCTTTTGCATTGTTGCTCAATATTTTATAGAATTCGACAGCGTGGATTCATCTTTCATGCATCATATTGCACGGGTTTTGACAATCGCTGTTCGTTCTTCTTTTTTCGCACAAGATGTGCATGAGTTGGTGTGGATGTTGGTGAAAAAAACATCTACAGTCAATCAAAGAATTGCATGGTTTTTTAGAGGCATGGAAAAAATCACTCGTTAAGTGCAAGTTTCTCACCGGCTTTGGTGCTTATTTTGATTTAGAAAATCATTTTACTTGAATGCTCAAAAAGAGTCGACTAATCGATCAAATACCATGTTGGTCGTGTTTTATGCTACCCCAAACTCTACGAATTATCATTGTTAGTGATGTTGTTGAAACGAAACCCGAAAAAAATACTTGAAAAGTTATAGAAAAACTTCACAAACGTTCGTACAAATCGACTTTCTGATGATGTTTGATGTCTTCTAGCTTTATCGGATGATTGGCAATGTCCATAAAACTTTTATCGGCGTTTCTTGCAATCTCTGTGTTCAATTCAATAGCCATGTCATGTGTTGATTCTGTCTCCTTAATAATGCGCATGCCTTGTTGGAAAATGGTTTGTACGTGTTCTGTTTTAAAATGGAATCGAAAAAATTGGAGTATGATAATGCTGTCACATAGAAAGGCGGAAATAAGTTCAGCAACGAAAGAAATCACTTCATAAACCTCCTTGTGTTCATTGAAATAGAACCATTCCGTAGCGACTGCCACTGTGACTGTGGTCACAAATAAATAGAGAGCCGATTTAATCCAAATACCTTGAAAGCGAGCGTATGAATCTGAGAAAAAGTCGAATAGAAGAAAAAAAGCGACCGTGTTTCGTGTCAACGATGAATATTCTTTTAGCATGAATACTGGTACGAAGATAGTGAGAATAATTTCTAAGCGAGACATAAAATGAAAGAGATGCTTATTTTCGACGATAATATTTGATTCTAGATTCTGGACAACTCGGCAATATAGAAGACCGATCGTAAAATAAGTCTCGATTATGAAAAAGCCAATATAAATAAAAATTTTGAATTTTTCGTGTTCTTTGATATAGGAGATCAAATATCCTAGTGTAGCCACTTCGGTTATGATCCACAGAAGAATATGATAGACGGCCAACAAACGTCGAGATCGAATAGGGGCACAATATTGTAAATAGGAAAAGATGATGACAATCGTCGACAATAACCCAATGTAGGTGCGTCCTTCAGAATGATACGCATAGTGATACCACGCATCAAAGACGTATGAACAAGCAGAGAAAAATGGAAGAATAATCATCGCATACAGGAAGAATCGATCGCGTCCATCTTCTGGTTCGTGTAAGTCAAAAAATCCCATGGTTGAAGAACGCTTCGCAACGAATTTAATAAATTTATGTCTTAGTAGTAGCTATCTATGGTAAATTCGTCACAGATGTGATTGTTGTTGATTACACTTATTCAGCAGGTAAACACTTTTTCCACACTAGCAAGACGAAAAATCATGAGTGCACGCTATCGTTTGATACTTTTGCAGCACTATCGATACACATTCTTAGAAAAGAGAGTCATAAAACTAATTTAATTAACATCGCTCAAATGCATAAAACAATAACTCCTACTCATGGAAACGATGCTAAAAAGTGTGAGAAACCTGTAGGACACTTAGTGACATAATAGACGAGTGAATGAGATCGCCTCAGTTCATCCGAGAAATACTTTGAGTGAATGGGAAAAAGCTAACCTCGGCGAAATTCACCACAGCCTGATAACTAGTTATACGACAAGAACCGATCTGCACAGTCGTGCGCTGCAACGCTGCGCAATTGTTTTTCTCATTAACTGTGTACTGCACAGAAAGCTGCAGAAAACATACAATGACAGGTTCAGTACTGAATGTTCTTTTCCTCAAAAAATCTACATGATGTACAAGTACGTAGTGGTTTACAACATTGGTTTTAGTAATGTTTGACAGATGCCTCTATCTTAAGCTGTAAAAAGGAGTCATACAAGTATCAAGCAAGGCATTGCAGAAGGATTGGAAGTTAGGACGTTTTAAATCATAATTTTGCAAGGGAGAAAAAGAGTGATCCAACACTCGTATCATTCATTGAAAATACATGTCTTCGTGGTGTACTTTCACTGAGATCGGCTCTATCAGAAACGTGATTAGCGTAGAAAATCAATATTTTCTTTCGAAATCTAACTACGCGGAAGATTCACATACTCCGATATTTGATTGCTATTCTGCTATGTGTCTTATCAGGTTCAAAGTGCTGATTCTAATTACGTTGTGTTAGTGTGAGAATGAATCATCGATAGCTGACCATCCGTTATGTCCAAGACAAACGATTGAATTAATATATGCCTGTCAGTAGATCTCTAATGAAGCGATCTATAAAAAAAATGTCTCATAACCGATTCGTTAAATAGATGCAAAATAACCAGAAGCAACGAAATTGCTGCTTCGAAAAAATTCATACTATCTCAGAAATAAAGAGGCATGGAAGACTTAGTTTTATACTTCACTAGCTATCGATAATGTCTACTACTTACCGAAACTCAAGTAAAAACTGAATTTTTCGAGTTGCTTTGCTTATCAGAAAATAATTGTCCTAATTACCTAATTCTCGTATTAACGGGCATCATCCAGTACAACTTGAAACAATGGTGACATCTGAGTGTAAAGTCGATTCAAATCTGCATTCACATTCCACACTCGCAATCTGCTGAGAAAAGCGCGTGCTGCTGCTGTCACATGGAGATCTTAGATGTTTCTCATAGCAGAAAGTCAAAGAGTCAACCATGATTGATCTGCACAAAAAGAGCAGGCTAATTTTTTTCCAAAATAAGTGTTAGTAGAATTTGCCAAGGTTCACATGTGTTACTTCCATAGAAAACAATTTATAGGTCACTTTTTTTCCCATTCATACCTAAGAACTATTAGTCACTAAATATAGCTGATTTATGTCTACTAGAGAAGCTATGCATTGAAACCATATAACAACAAAGACAGCATCGACAGACAAAATAAAGCTCTCTGTCTAAAAAGATTGAAAAAGAGATACAATTATGTTTGATCAAAAAATGGAGAAAACTATATCTATTAAATAGAATATAAAACTTTGTACAGAATCTCAAGCACTAATTTTTGGGAAAAAGAACTGTTTCAATCAAGTGAAGCACAGAGAAGAAATATTTAAAATGCAACCAGTCTAGCTTATTTTGGCCAACTCGTTACCTTGAAAATGAAATATACTCACGTGGTAAATGATATTGAAATATATTAATTGCATTTGAGCCATTTTCGCGAGCGTCTCTCTTGTCTATTTATCGTTGACGAATCTACCTGCTTCTTTTCAACTTACCAATAGTTAGATGCGCCAATGGGACGTGACTCCTTAATAGGTAGGGAATGTGTTTATTAGTGATGCGCTTGTCATTTTACATGTTCTGTTTTTTCATCATGCTCTTCCACTGTATTTTTGCCTTCCTTTGCGTTTTGTAAATATATAATGAGAAAATATACATTAATATCTCGATACATCAATGCATTACAAATTGAGAACAGATGTGAGTGGGCATGTGGCTGTGCCTACCAGACATCTACACTCACACCCTAGTTGTATTTGTACTGATAAATTTCATGTAGAGTATATAAATAAGCTAAATGAATAAAAGAACAAGTATAAACACCGATAGGAATTTGTCATTGAGAAAACAGAGATCGAGCGTCATTTTTCAGATAACATGATGCGCTAAGTGGTCCCAGATTGAACGAATCGAAACTCATTTTCGCTTGCAAGTGTAATCACTTTATCTTTGTCTATTGAATGATCACAAGCAACAAAGACTTTGCATGACAAACGATGAGATACTATTGAATGCTTTGACAACAAGAGCATTGAGGATTGTCGTTTGAATCCATTCCACATTAGAAAAATCATTTAGATGTATTTTTTGCAAGTTTGACTTGATAGATTAACTAGAACTAACACCAAAACGTAAACATTGTCCTTTAAATGATACAGAGTTATAATTGCCTATATTTATTATTTTCTTGTAAACGCATATGTTAGTGACTATTTTCATATGACTGAAATGTGTATGTCTAACTATCG